TGGTTTACTTAAAACCAATCATAAATCTGAGATCCACTTTGTCAAAATTTGGATAATTCTTCTTAAGTTGCACTGCGTGTTTATCACACTAATCCATTCAGTATCACAATTCTCAACGGAACTGCGTCTTTTACAATCTCCAAATGGATGAAATGGCGAAGACGTGTTATCGCAATGAAGAATCGCGTTAGAGACAAAAGGTTCGGAACGGAAACGCGGCACGAATACGCGCGGATGACTGAAAGTATTGGAGCAGGTTTGAAAGCGTTAAGGGCCCCCAACGGGCCCCCTACCCTGACTCCACCTTCTTCTCGGTCGCTTAGGGCCCGCCGGATTCATGCCCAGTTTTTATCGCCCCGCTTTGTTCTAGTTCCACGACGCGACCCTTTTGCGCATACGTCCCATCACAATGTGTCGTTTTTTCTTGTTCCGGGGCCGGTTCGCGTAATGGGCCCTTTGCACGGCCACCTTGAACGTTCCTCCTTTCAGGGACGTCACTCGAGGCCGCATCTGGCCCTACGATTTCCATTCTTTTCATTCTTAATCCAATCAATTTTCGATATAGTCAATCAAATATGACTTGTCCTGACATTGACTCCAATAGAATTACAATACGTCAATTTTTTTCCAAGCCGATAGCTAATATGCATTCGCTGTTTATGGACACTTGTACTTCACGTTCGAACAAAAATTGATTAAATAACTGAAATGCATTAAAGATATAAATACTGAGGAATATCAGCACATAAATTGAAACCTAACAACTACGTCCCTGAACCCTTGTTATTACACATTTGCATAGCTACACACGACCGTGCCTGAGAATGCAGAGGACCCATCCACGAAATAAGAACGGAAGACGTGCCCCTTCGTACGGAATTATATTATATAGTTCTCCTTCCCCCACGTTCTCGTTATTTTTCTTTTTCTTTTTTTTTTACGTGACTCACACGGGCATCGTTTTTCGTATGCGGGTCCGTTAATTCGTGCGAGATCACGTCGCGCGAGAGAAGGTTCCACCTTTAGATGTTCTATATTCGGATCAGTCAAAGGCGAGGGTGGGAGCCTATGAAATATTTTCAAAAGCTTCCCTTGGACATTTTTTCCATGCCCTTCATATGCATTTTATTGTTTGAGGAAAATAAATTCATTTGTCTATCATTTTTTAAAATTTATGGGATACGTTAATTTCATTAGTGATTCATGAGATTAGAATTTCTTTGAGGAATTGTTGTTGGCTATCAAATAATTGTATATTCAAAGAGTGTGTGCGTCGAAGGGCAAAAGGAAAACGGAGAGAAACGTTTTGCATAATGGCTGACTTACAGTACAGAATATTTACGATGAAAGTCTCGTACAGGTGAGGCGATTCAGGGAACGCGTTACGTCGACGTGTGTCGTTAACTTAATAATTGACCATAACCGGCCGCCTCACCGCGGAAAGCTAAATCACCCCTCCCGAAAGGTGGAGATAAAAAAAAAAGTGCGCGCCGCTACGTTAATCGATGGCCGGCCGTTTTTAGCCGAACTTACGTACATTTTACCCGGAGGCAGTACAACCGGGGATATTTAGCATACTAAAGAAACCACCCGCGGGCGGCCGGTTTCGTCGAGTAGTATTCATTTAAAAAACGAGTTCGAGAGGAGAGATGCAGTCTTTCGCGCGCGCAGAAAAAAAAGGAAACTAAGTTAATTGGCCGAGTCGAATCGATGAGTCGCTAATACGTAGACTCTCGATGTTCATGTAAATTTTCGTAGGTCTACAAGAGTTAACCGGTATGAAAAAAACTTGCATACATTCCTTAGTAATAACTGAATATATTTCCTACAGTAATGCTTAAATACAGAACAAACCAATTTGTTACGTATTTAATTGGCAATATGGGATGACTGGAATTTTTTCATTTGCCTCATCTAATAGAATAGTAATTGTAGTTGCATTATCAAGTAAAGAGACAAAACTGCAGATGAGAGGAAGGTAAAGGGTTGAAGATAGTTCAACACTCGATCCTTTTGGTCCAGTCGCGAGCAGCCTCGATCGAGGATAATTGCATTAATTTATTCCCGATCCGTTGCAGAAATTCCGGATCCTTCCAGCTAATTACATTATTAAACGACCCCGTGCCTTCTACTCTTACTCCGGATTACAACGTCCCTCTTGATAAAATTCCTCGACCGGTCGACGTCTTTCCTTTTCTCTTCCTTCTTTGCCACTGTTAAATTGCAATTTGTACGAATCACGACCACAGAAATGCGCGCGCGGCGGACGGGGAACAGGAAGTGAAGAGTTCTTAAAAACTTATTACTACCCCGACGGTATTCAACCGCGATCGATAAGGGACGAGTGACAAAGGGAAAGTTCGTTAAGCTGTTCCCGCGCAAATTGTGCTCGCAATTAAGACATCGCGTTTTAATCTACCGGCATCGCGAGACCAGCTCGCATTCTTCGCTACAGTATCCATTAGTAAATGAAACTTGGAAATCTTTCCTCGCTTGTATTCTTAAATTGTACTGCCTGGTGTATTAATTAAGAGCAAGTAATAAATCTTAACATGATTTTTTATATCTGATGGATGAGATGAAATAAAATATATAGAGAAATGTGTCACTTAGTCGAGCTTATCATTGAAATCAGACAAGGTGGACCCTATTGCATATTAATTAGAGACTTCCTCCGTGGGACTTTTCGTCCCTCGGATGCTCTACTTTGTTTCCCGCGGGATCGTGTCTCGGAATGGGCTAAGACAGCTGATGCCCGGCCGTGCAGGGTATCATTTACATAAGGCCCTGATTTAAGGGCGCGCCGTGTTCGTCTTTTCTATCACCGAATACCCTCGCGCGCACGGTTACGCACGCCGCATGAAATTTATAATTAGTGGGGGCCGCACTTTCATGCAAATGCCCGTGGCAATAATAGCGACGACGCGTTCGCCCGCGGATACGTGCTTCCTCGTATCGTGTTACTCGTCTCGTTTGAAAAATATTCTCGCTCAGGCGAGTCTCACGACGACACGGTATCGATTAAAAGTTGCACGTGGAACAAAATTGAATTCGTTAATTGCGTTTATCTATTCCGGCGAAGTACTCGGCCGATTGATTGTTTTATTTCTGGTTATTAACTTTCTCGGAATTATATCAATGAACGATCGAGTAGTAGAAGGGTTGTTTCATTTTCCACCTCGAGACTCATGCAAATGGGGCAGCCGCTAGTTACGGTCGGTTTCGAGGATGAAAAGAAACATCGGCGAGGAAACGAGAATAAATGTTTAATGTCGTCGAAGAGGAAGCAGCATTCTGCATTCAATTATCGAGGAGGGACGAGAGAAAGAAGAAAGGCGGGACACGAAGAAATGAAAACCCTTCGGAATTTCTAATGAACCGTGCGAACTGCAACCCGTTTTCTAGGCGTAACCTAATTAAGTCCCGAACGCGTATGCAAATTTTCGCTCAGCGGGACACACGCGGAGGTTCGCAGCCAGCCTCCCTTTTCTCCGCGCCCTCTCGCCCTCTTACCGAGCGCGACGATTTCGCACGACACGCATTCTCAGTCGTCACCGACGTCGGATCGACCGTTAATTAATTAATTTCGTACGGAGGGGGCCCCGCACGAATTCCGTTGTGAGATTGAAACGTTCGACGGGATGTAAGGAGGCGAATTTCGACTAATTAGCCCCCGGGATCAAACGGATGGAAACATCTGTCGCTGATTTCTTTTCTTTCACTGGTACGAAAACCAGTTGGATCAGAAAATATAGAACTATAATAGCACTATTAAATTTGCGAAAATTACAGCGAATGAAATAATATCTTCAACGATCACACATTTTATCTCTGATATAATCTTACATCTATTGCAATGCGAAAGATAAACGAAAAATTCTGTTTCATAGTATTTAAACAAATAACTTAATTGTCTATGCATTTCAAAATTAAATTGGATATTAGGAACCTGCGATGATATGTTTAACACCATGTTTCAAAGTGCAACCTGCGTGCAGCTGGGAATGCACCGTAGTGCGGTATCGACAATAGTGTCGATGGTGTTCGATGGGGATGAATATCTATTGATTGGCAAAGGTCACCCCTCGAGGAATCGGGCCGATACATGGGCGTGTATACCTGCCGCGACCCCAAATCTACGTTCTATGCTACCTGCGCGAGTATCCAGCAAATTGTCCCGTTTTCATAGCCACGTGCCAGGAGTCAGGTACACGTACATGATAACGAGCCGCGTATCTCTGATCTTTTTATTTTTTCACCATGATAACTGTACGTCAATTTTAAATAGACGAATGATTGATATAAACGTAAAACTGCTGATATATGAAATTACAGAGTAGGAAATCGTATAGTTTCACGCGCTTAGAATGGTGATAATTGTATCACATTGGGATTACTGTGATTAGTATAATAAGAACGGGAGAAAATTGCTAGGGGAATAATCTACTGAAATATCTCATTAAATTTAGAAAGAAACCCGGAGTTTAACTCGGAAATGATTGCATATTAGAAATCTCAGAAAGATCTCTCGCATGCGCTTGCCTCTATAATTTTCCCAAACCAGCTACACACTACCGGTTTTAATTAGTCTCAATCGCAGTTAGTAAATTTTTAACTCGCGCCCGCAACATTTCAAATTATAAACTTCTCACGCATTTTCTGCAACGATCTGCCTATGTTATGATTACAATCCAACGTGTTGCACAGAGGGGATACGCGTTTGGAATACTTGCGTCGAGCTTTTACCTCCGATCACACGCATGATCGCGACTCGATCCACATCCATTAAAAATTGGTAACTCGATACCGGGGTTATTGTCCCAACGTTATGCAAGTTTGCTTAGTTTATGCGTCGGAGCATCGAGGAAACTGATACATTTATTATGCAGGATATTCTAAACAATCGCTCTGGACCCAGGCTGAATGTTTGTTCATGCGCACGATTTCATATCGCTTATGAATATTTCCAAGCCGGAAGATGAAAAAATTTCTAACGTACTCACCACGTGTGTAGCCCTTTCAGCCAGGCGTCGTTGATTAATCAGCCTGAAAGAACAAAAGGAATGCTATTATTAGATCAATGAAATTTCAGTAACAAGAACATTATTAATAATCGTGATACTTTTTCAAGTTCTTATATAATAGATAATAATTAGAATAATGATCACAATTAAAAAAAAGAATCAGGAGTTACAGAATTATTCATTACACGTGATACTAATCCCATTTTATGAACAGTCTATCTGAATTTCGGTGAGGAAAGCAGTAAATTTATTCTAAAATAGTCGAGAGCATCGATTACGCAACGAGGAAGGTTTACCGAAGTACAAAAGGGAAAACAGTGGATGGGGATGAAAAGAAGGAAGAGCCCCTTGTATCCGGATACGCAGCGCTCCTGTCAGTCGTATGTCAACCCTCGTTGTTTTTTTGCCGCGCTCTTAATAATTGATCATCTGATTACGATACATTATACCCCCCTTTTTCTACTTTGGTACACCGTTGGCCGTGGAGGGCATATTATTCGTGGCACCAGGGAAACAGTGAGTTAACAGGCGAGCGAGCGAGAGAGAGAGAGAGAGAGAGAGTAGGAAACTTTTTCTTCCGTCGCTTGGTCGAGGGACGGTCATTTGCATATAGGTCCCCCTTATCGACAAATACACCGGGGGCGCCCCTCGTAATGAGGGCCCCCTTCCCCCGTACCTCTTCGCTTTTATTTTTTCAACGTGGACCGCCATTGTCCGTTAACTCATTCGTGGACCAGCTTCGTATCTCCTTTCCTTCCTCGTTATCCTCTCCATCTCACCATCGTCGTTTCTCTCTCTGACCCGCCCAGTTCTTCCCGCGTTACTCTTTCATTCTGTGTCGCTTCGGGAGAGAACCCGCGGTAAGAAAAAAAAAATACTGACGGGGGAATAACAGAACCGGTTGCCCCGTTGAAAAATATGAATCATAGAGATAGAGAGGATAGAAGCGTGAAAGCGTTTGCCGAGATTCTCTCCGCCGTGACATCTGCTTTTCGAGATAAACGCAGGAAAAAAAATTGCCAAACGGGGGTCGCTATCGCTGATAGAGCCGCGTGAGAAACGTTCCGTGCTCGATCGTAATGAAAATCGTATGATCGCTTACTTGTGCCAGCATTTTAATGTCGAAGAACCGAATAGAACCATATTTTAAGGGAAATTAGATTGATAAGAATTGCTAATAAGTCCATGATAGTTATGAATAATATTAAACAAGAGATTAAGAACGGAAAGAAGTGGAGTACACGGGACCGGTTTCGTAGCCCCTGGAGAGGCCGATCGTTACCAACTTCGTTACACAACTGTTAGGATAATAATCTGCGGCGAGAATCATGAGCCGTGATACGTGTACGCGGGCATGTATGAGTGTCGTGTCCGTAGCCGGGGGTGAGGGCAGGTGTTCCACCTTCCTCAGAGAATAATTAATATTCAGCGAGGAAAAAGTGGGCGAGAGAGAACGGACCGATGGTCTTCTCTTACGAACAGTTAGCGCGTTAGCAAACGGGGCGCGCATCGCTTCTAGACAAGCAGCTGGTCCTCCCAGGGGGAAAGAAAGACTTCCAAGGCCCAATTACGTTCGTCTTTTCGATCGTTCTTATAATACCATAATTGTTTCACGTTTGATCTGGCCAGGGTACGCCCAGGCCTGCGACTGATTTTATCCGATCCCATTTTTGAGCTCTTTAAGTTTCCATCAGATTTCAAATAAATTGATGCCTTCATAATTAAAATTTGTGAAATGGTGTACGTAGGAAGAAATTGAAATTTTCACTTGTATCATGTTGTAACGGTTAATATGTCAATATGATACTTCCATAATAAGGGGCATGTAATATGTACGTGAATGACAATTACTATACGTATGGATGAAACTTCTTTGAAAAGTAATGGAATACAATTTAGCGAGTATAAATCGTAATCCACTAACACAGTAATCAGCGAGCGGAATCTCAGTAGCCTTGATAACGAAAGCGTGTAGACCGGGACGAATTGCAGCTGCAGAAAACGAGGGAAACTTATGATCAGATAAGGGCAGCGGGTGCGGGAGGGAGATTGATGTAAAAGAGCGAGCAGAGAGAAAAGGAGATAGCGAAGGTAAAGAGGGGGAGCGACCGGGCGAGGAGTACAAATTACGAGCACCCGGAACTGGTCTCGTGGCCGTGTTAACTTTCGTCGCGTGCCTTCGGGAAATGCCTCAACTTTCGCGGGCCACGCGTTATCGTCCGAGCATTATAAACTTTCCATTGCTACTGCCCCGTTCCTTTTTCCTTTTCTTGTTTGCCGCCGTTATTTACGACGCGTTAACCAAATTTACTCCTATTCAACATTTTCGGACTCTGTCAACTTGAAGAATATCGACAATCTTTATTCTTTTGCATTATAGGAAATATTAGACAAGGTAAATGTCCCCATTTCTACTCGCCTTTTAGTCTATCATTTTAAAATAACATAAGATGATAGAAAGTTAGCGAGTAGAAATTTGAACGTGAAGAGAAACTGAGACATTTACTATGCTTTGTTAGAAATCAAAATCATTTCAATGATACAACAAGAATATGACTAAATACATTTCACGTTTTTATTTCAGATATGAGGCAGTAGAATTGATCTATCTAGAGCTGATCGGCACTTACAAGCAGTCGGAGATCGATTGGAAAATAATACATGATGCCGGATGTACCAGGGATGATACTGATTTACCGCATCACATCACTACGCCTAATGATCTTGATCGATTGATCACCGGCACGTTCCGATCATTCCTAGCCGCGTTACCCGCTCCTCCAACAATTGTAACAATCGCAAGGTATAAAAACATTAATTTACATAAAAAAACTCCAGTTTTCAGTAAATAATTAAGAGACGTTGCTAAACATTTTCAGACTAGTTCAATTATTTATCTTTAGTATGCAAAATCGTTAGGGATAACGTGATATGCTTTTTAAGCACTGAATTGAATTCGACAGCGGTATCGGTCTCTATCGAAATTAGAGGAACGGGCAGGGTCGCGATGGCGTGGAAGAAGATGCTGGGAGCGCTGGAAATAGAGAAAAGGGAGGGTATCGTAGGGGAAGGTATGGTTGGGGCCGGGCGAAGGGTGGGTTTACGAACGTTCAGCTATGATCAAGCCCCACCCTTCATGTGGGTAAAGGGTGGCTAAGTAAGGGGTGTACAAAATCAACCCCCCTTGACCTTTCACCGATCGTTGTCAGATGTCTCTGACTCCGATGTCCCGCGACAGATGCTAATTATTCCTTTATCCTCTCCGCTTTGCTCTATGTTGTTTTAATTGGCCGCGTGATTAAGGTAGAACACATTGCTCCTGATCCGTTTCATGGTTTTAATCTTTCCGTAATAAACAACGTCGTACCAGGGTAGATATTCTAATTTACGAGACGTAAACAGAATTTGTGAGATCACGTTTTTAGGAAGTCAATTAAATAAGGATTTGTTTCATCCCTTCAATATTACGAAGTCTATCCTACATTAGAGTATCTTATATACTGTTGTACGAATCCTGTTTAATTTCTTAAGAAAGAGTTTAGCATCATAAGAATTCTAAGAAATATGTGTCCAATCTTAGGGAGAAATGAATTACAATGTAATCCTTGATCTCTGAGCGTTATCATAGCTTTAAGGAATATACAGTTTGTCATAGCAACGGGGGATTATTAACAGCTAAAATATGCAGGGAGAGCACGGACGGGAATAATAAAATCACCTGGAAAATAGTTGATTTGGCGCCATCTCGTGATGGAATTAGGGAAACGGACTTCCGGTGGCGGTATAAAAAAAAATCGATTTCATCCCGCGCGGCCCTCCAACGACACCCCTTTTGCTCTCTTTCTCTGTTCACCCTCGGCACCCCGGGCTTCCGGAGAGGACGCGGAAACGCCGCCGGATGTCGCCTCTGGACGGCACCGAGGTTCTCTTCCAGTTTGCCAGACGGCGATTAAACAGAAGCAAAAAGCGAAAGCGAAAAGAGGCTGCGACGAAACAGGGCCTCCCTCTAATTTGTGCACTGGCATTCCAATCAAATTGTGCTCCAGGCATATGAAACGTCTACAGATCTGCTAAATGATCAGACTACTGACTTTAATAACATTCATAGTGTCGTTTAACAAAGCAACTTTTAGTTTATCATTTAAATATTTAAATATTCTATCAACTCTTTATATCTTATGTTTTTATGCATTCCATGCAGTATTCACATTTTCTACACATTCTCATAATCAGGATGTTTTCATTGTTTTACAGATCGAGCGAGGATGAATATTGTCCGTCGGAAGTCGTCGATCAAATTCAAATCGGAGTCCTAGATGAACTTCGACAACGTTTGGAAGAGGTCGACGTCCGTTTGGCCTATCAGGAAGAGGAAACTCATTAAGCTCGTTTTTTAAAATATGTATGCGTCCCTACTCAATTCCAATGCTCATTTGAATAAAGTAAACGTTTTTATGAAAGTATCATTCGTTAATCGCATCTCTTCAACGAAATAAAGCTAGAGAGCATCGGTCGTTGTTTAAGTTCGCTCGTGGAAGACCAAATGGAGAGCTCGTAAAGACCAATTACACTCTTCTTTACAAAGAAAGAAAACTAAGTCGAGAGAAGTCCGGCAGTGGTGGTGAACCGAATCGATGGAATACATCAGAGGATCGGAAGGAGGAAAAAGGTAACTGGCACGTCTTTGATCAGGACGACGATTTACATAAGATCGGTGCCAGTGGTCCATTATAAGAACCGAGCACAATGCCAACTTCAAGGTTAGCGTTTTTCTCTTTTTTTTTGCACCGAGTACCCCTCCATCGGTCGTCCATTTGCATATCGTACGCTAGTTTCCCACACGTCTTATAGTATTCTATCCCTCCCGTTTCCTTTCCCCCTCCAGTTCGCAATCCTTTCAGTTGGCGAAGACAAAAAAATACCAAGGAACACGTAAAGAGACGTGTTCCTTCTTCCAGGATGCTGTCGTTTCCTGGCTAAACGCGCCCTATTCATATCCGTACTATGAATATGCATACACGTTCAATTTTTTCTCACCATTGAATTTCCGGTTTACAACGAACGGTGAAGTCCTCGCCCGGAAGAGGAAAACCGATGGAAACATCTTCGGTGACTGATCATCGATGACACAGGGACATGAGTCATCCGAATGGTTAAGTGATCGTTCGATTCGTTATACGAAGCGGACATGAAAGCAGCGGGCGATAACGCGCGAATAAACGTTAAATGGGCAAGGTGAATGCGGAAGTGCGGTCGCGAGTAAGGGACGAATTTTAAAGAGAACCACAAGGAAAGTTTACGAGCTGCCAGGCTCTCGTAATGACTGTCGTTAACCGCGGTTGCGAAGCCTCTCTCTCTCTCTCCCTCACGGTAGGCGAACACGGACCTTTGTATGCTAATGACAGGGTGGTCCGATTTCAACCACCCTGAGCAAAAAATCTTAGGGGTCAACAGACCCATCGTTCGGCCGAGTTTCTAAGTTCTCCCTCGAGTACCATTGACCTCGAATTAAAAAAAGAAAGAGACCGCGGCCGGCCTTCGGCCCGTTGCGAACTTTACGACTGAACGCGTACTCTTTCCTTTTTCGCAAACTCATTGACGGTCTCCCCCGATGGTTTCTTACTCGCGCGAAATTAACTTTCGTACTATGGTAAAAGGTGAGAGCTGGCAAGACCCCAGGGAGGACTGTGTAACCATTCGCTGAGGTAATACAACCATTAATATTCATTAAACCGCGCCGAGTGTGCTTAGCTAAGGAAGTGCGAGTTCTGTTGCACGAGTAACCTACATGTAGCATCGATTTTACTTGGCTTCAGTCACGGTCTAACAGCTTTTGAAAATGATTTACTTTGAGAGAGTGCTGGTCTTTGTTCTGAGGAATGAAATTACTCATTGCTGTAAAGTAATACTGCGCGATACGAATAAGATTATACTGAATGGGGGAATTGTTTTACGTCACGGTTCGAAAGCAATTCTAAACGTCTCGTTCTCTCCCGCGGCTGTTCGGATTTCATTCATCCAGGTGACACCGTGACATTGGGTTCCAGGGGAATTATTCAAAACCAGGCCTGGCTGGCAAAAGTACAGCCGTCCCCGGCATCGTAATCCCGTATCTCATTTGCATAAAAGAGAAACGGAAAAAAGCGACGTACGAAAAAACAAAAGTGATCGAGGGACGAATCTAGCACTCAATATCAAAAGCTATACACTATCACTTAAATTACAACAAACCTTATTAAACGAAAGGGAGAGAATGAACTTATAATTATTCTGTGTACGAAAAATTCTACCTATACATCAGGTACTGAGAATCTTCAGTACACAGAATTCTAAATAATTATCGTCACTGCAACGAAATAAAGCACACTCTCACAACGGTGGAAATTACTTGACGACGGTTCATAATATCGAGGCGAGACAAGTCAGCCAACCCGAGGACCCTTCTTATACCTGACGATTATGCGCGTGACGAAAGAGATCTTCAGAGAGAGAGAGTTAGGCGAGTATGCTAATCAGCAGACATAATGCAATATCGATACGCCGTGGAAAGCCAATTACAGCGTGGGGATAGGGCCCAGGGTTCTCTTCGCAAAAACGTCTCCGTGAGACGCGTAAAGGGTCGCGACGCATCGGTGAGAAAATGAATAGTAAATATAAAAGGAGAATGAGGAAGGGTAAAGAGAGAGAGAGGGACGGGGGCCCGGTGATAGACAACGCCATAGGCGGAGACCTCGTTGGCCGTTGTTCCAAAGTGCTATTTGTATTTATTCGAGGCCTTTGTTCGTGCTCGTAGACTCACGGGGAGGAGGGTGGGGCGACCAATCGAGAGGGAAAGAGAGAAAAAAAATTATTCAAAGACGAGGCAAAGGGGTGAGGTCCACTAGTCGTTACGGGACTACACGCCGTTTCGGACGAAAAAATAGTTTGCACGCTGTTCGAGTACGTTCACATTCAAACAAAAGCACTATTATTCTGTTCATTCTTTTTTCTGTGAAATCAATAATTCGAGTCAAACTGTATACCCGACGTAATTAGACGTCGGTCACAAAAGCTGTGCGTTCTGCAGTGAAATGAGACAATTAAATCAAACATATTATTGCCAACATCAATTTCAACACTCGACATCTCTTTTAGATTAAATAATTTCGTATCGCTGCGTTGGAATCGAATTTTAATGAAGAAAAAAAAATAATCCGAGGAACCGAATTATAGGGCAAGTGTTTCGTGATGCAGATCCCCGTCGATGCAGTACGTACACACGTGCAGCGAGATGATTGCGCGCGCGTGTGCGTGTGTGTGTGAATGCATCTCGTGCAGCGGATGCAACTGCGAGTGGTCAGTAGCTCGCAAAACGACTGACCGCTCGGTGCATCCCCTCGGCGCTATATTCGATGAAACGGTTCGCGAGTGACGCGCGTCGAGCCTGATACATCAGCCGAGTGCAAAAGTTCAGTCGCTTTTTACCAATCGCATTCACTGTACGACTGTTTCCCTTCATTTACTATTATCAATGCTTATTTTCTATTCGAATACAAATTTACTGTCAGGAATGAGGAGCGGGACTTTTGCCACTTGCCTGAAACACGTTTCCAACGTGACTGTTTTGTGATGCATAAAACGTGCCTGTGTTTCCAACTGAAATATCAGTGGCTCTGCAGAAAAAGTGTTGTTTACAAATTCAATTATGAAATTACGAGGTAAACTCAAAGTTGACAACTGGTAGTGTAATCAAGAGTTTTTAATCACATCTACACGGTCCTCGGCCGAGTTTATTCATGCGGTATCCGGCACGCTTTTCGACGCGAACGGACAAGTAATTTCATAATGTCACAAGACGGAAGTTCCGACAGTTCTTACATGGTCGACGGGAGCGGGTGGTGCACCGAAGGAAAAGTTCCGTTATAAGTTTTAATGGTACATAAATAAACGGCGACGTTGTAATAGAGTTTCTCCGGGACGAGTTTTCCAGCGACGGCGTGGCGCGCCGGGCTGATTCAATGCGAAAATGTAACACGGTCTCTCGTTATAAATATTCAATCGTAAACCGTGACATTTTTCTCGTGCACAGTCGTCACGTGAGGCCAACGATAAGCTTGACTCGGCGAGCATATGCCGGAATTATAAATTAAACGCGTTCTAGCTAGCCAGCGTGTGCCCGTTGACGGTTTCGTTGGAATTATAGAAAATTAACGATGCCGTCCGAGTCGCGGGTCGAACACCCGCTGTCGTTCATGCACGAAATAACCAGCACGTCGCGTGATATTATCCGGGAAGGAAACGCGAGGTCCGGTAGGGTTCGTTATCAGTGTCTTTCCTGTTGCGTTAGCGGCGGTTCATTTCGAAACTTCGAACGAGTTCCCCTTTAAGCGAAATTTCGTGCGGGACTTTAAATCTTGTATCGGAAACGGGTAGAACAATTTATCGACCAGATAATCATGGAAATCTATTAAACGAAAAAGCGCATTTAGGCTAGAAGAACGAGACTCATGCGGAAAACCAGACGGTATACACAGAATGTAACTCGTCGCGCAGGAGAACGAGAAACATTTTTCATTTTCTTTCCATGTTGCTTGATATTCAATCGCGCGAAGTGAACCTGCCAGAATCCATTCTCAATAACGGAGAGACAGAGCGAGCGAGAGAACGTGCTCGGGGGACGAGAGTAGTGGTTGGCGGGTCTCTAATACACGCGGGGGTGCGTGTAATTCCGAGGCCGCGCCATATTTTAACATCGTTCCGAGTTACATTATGTTTCAGCAAAATGGTCGGCGCACACGTGGCAGCGGCGGCCCCGGCGACGCGGGAGGGTGGTTTATCTCGAATACACAATCCCACCCCACAAGCCACCCTCTACGGTGAACGCGGCTCAGTCCGGAAGGGGGTGGAAAGGGGAACCGAGAGAGAGAGCGAGAGAGAAATTCTGCGTGGAAGGCGGTTCGAGGGGTGCACAGGGCGAGAGAGGGTGGAGGTCGACGACGACCCTCGGCAACCAACGCCCACTGCTAGCCACCCTTCTACCCTCTCCCCGTTAGCTTTTGCGACGTCTATACGTAGAGGGGGAGCGTGGAAGGCAAACCGGTACGCGAGCTAACGACGTTCTTTCGCTTTTCGCGAAGAAAAGAGCGAGAAGGAGCGACGAGAGAGAAAAGATCGGAAAGAGGAGAGAGCGGGATAGGGATAGGTGAAGGGCGCGAGAGGGAGAGAAATAGGTGGTGCAAACCGCGTTTCTACTCTTTCGGTCTTTCTTACTTCGTGCCTGCTCGCTTCTTTGTGAACATAGACGCGAACGGGGGAAGAGGGAGACTGCACCAGGTAATGATGTACCACGATAAATTTCCTGCGGAAAATTACCCGTGCAGTTGGCCGCGGAGTCGCGGTGATCATTTTCTTTTCCCCTTATTTTTTTCCTTTTTTGTAACGCCAGCAAACATACGTATTACAGGGCCGCGGCTGCGACAAT